TTTTATCAGTAAAAGAATTGATCCAGGAAATGATGCTTTGCTACCTTTTACAAGCATAAAAATGGTCTTAAGGTTATCATAGCGCGCTGTTTCGAAGAATATATACAAATAAAATAAGTATATAAATACATATTTTCATTTATACACAGTAGGCTTTAAAGCTATAAGCTTGTGTATCCTCTTCAATACACGCTTGCACCACGAATATTTTATACACACAACTCACAACTCACAACAACCGTATATTCAATAAGTTGCGCATTGACAAAACTGCTTGAACATTGGATTTACAAAGGACAATTAGATTTCTAATCTAGCTATAAATTTGATTTGTAAATAGCAATTTTGTACGGTCAACATGCCAAGTGTTCATTTTTCTGAATGTCCTTTGACTTTGTGCATMWCTATTGTAACACATTCATCAAGTATTTTTTGATGTTAAGTAGCTTTGCACATGTCGACGATATTAAGACGTTCGATGTTTAGTARCTTTGCACACGATAACAGAAAGCGTATTTTGTATTTTGTGTGTAATTATAATGGGTAACATTTCCTAAATATTTCATAGCGAGTTCTTATCATCTAAATATTTATATCTTTAAAGGTGTGATCAGTTACATGTAACGTTTGWTTTGAAATTCATATTATTAACTTCCTGCTTCAAGTCTATTGTGTTTAACCTATTTTTACATTTTGTTTTGCAGGCATTGAGTTTATTTCAAGCGCTTTCTTGGTAAAGCCGTTCAGATGGCTGATTAAGGCCATGTCCACACTATGCCGGATAAATTTTTATCCGGATAAATTGCCGTGAAAACGAATGAAATGTTTTGCGTCCACACTAATACGATCTTAGCCGCATAAATCATCAAAAAACACCTCTCTGTATGTGCCTCGTCTTGTTTAGGGAACAAATTTAGCGTATAGCTAGATGCCCGAAAAATTCATAAACATAGTCGAAATGAAGAGAATTTTACATAAAAAGGCAATGCGATAAACTTCTCGTGGCTAGATATCAAAGTTTAGCATTTACCGCAGCGTTTACAAAGATGTAGCCACTCGTCTGTTACAAGTACTGAACAAAATGACATAAGCATAAGAAAGTAATGTGAGTTTATTTAGAATCAGAAACGTAACTTCCAGTCGATGAATTTTAAAAAAATCCAACCGAAAGCATATATTTTTTGATTATGATCACTAGAGCAGAACGGTTTCAAAGGTTTCAAAGGTGTATTTTTTCCCACATACAAAATTACAATTTTGAATAGGACATTCAGTAAAAAAAACAGTGAAAAGGTACAGAAATTACAACCCAAAGGGGTTAATTAGGGATTCTGCATCTTTAGTAATTAAGATAAAGTTAGTTATGGCGGATAAATGATATGACTATTAAATTATACAAAATAGAAACATATGTACATATGTACGTGCTCAAAATAACAGTTATATATACAGATTTATATTTACAAGTTATTGACATGTTTACAAAGATATAAGGTATGTTTTAGAATGTTTTATCAAACTCATTAATAATTCATGAGGAAAACACAACAGAAATCACGACCGTGAAGAGTGATGTAAATCTGATACAAAACTGTGTTCATTTGCATAAACTTTAAGTTGGATTTTCTTGGCCAAATTCACTTTAATTTTGAAAATTTTAGTGAAACACAAAGGAACTAACCTAGACGTTTGATAAGTCATATACAGTATTCGTGTCCGTGTTGTATCAGATATACAATCACTCAGCTACGCCTCGTGGTTGTATATCTGATACAACACGGCCACTCATACTGTAATTATTACTTATAAAACTTTTAAGTGTAGATTTATTTTTTATTTTAAGAGGTACCTTATTCCAGCTTTCGGGTGCCGCGTATTTTACGCCAAACTTACCATAATTTAAATTTTGACGAGGCAAATAAAACTTTTTATTCGCTTTAGAGCGGGTATTATAAGTATGATTTAAATTTATATCCTAGAAGTGGTGTCAGGCAATTGTCCGTTAGAATGTTTATACGCGAGTTCACAAAGCTGGAGTTTGACTATTCTCAGAGATATTTAGAATGTCAAGTCTTTGAAATAGCGGTCTACTTGGAGTTCTACGTTCTGAGAAATTAATCGCCCTTAAGGCTCGTTTCTGCAGAATGTGAATAGATCCTTGATTTAAAATTACTCCCCCAAATTAATAAACCGTATGAGAGATAGGAGTATATAAAATTATAGTAGATTTTTTAATATATCAAGACTTAGGTAGTGTCTACATCTATACAAAATTCCAATTGATTTAGCAATCTTTCTGGACATAAATGCAATAAGTGAGTTCCACAGTAGATTTTCGTCTAGAAGTAAACCCAAAAATTTTGTGTTTTGTGTTTTAGGGATATCTGCGTCTCGACAACCACAACATTCTTCAAGCGTTGTTTGGATCCAAAGAGTATACATCTAGTTTTTGATAAATTGACAGTAAGCTTATTTGCCCGAAACACTTCGTCAAGAGATGCAAGTTCTTTGTTCAGAACTATAGAAGCCTTCTTTAGACATTTATGACTATATAGCTGATTCATATCATCCGCATATAGCAATAAATGCAGAGTTTTTGTTACGAATTGTGCATCATATACGAAAATAAGAAGAAAAATGGGTCCAAGGATAGAACCTGTGGTACTCCAGACATGGCTTAGAATCAGATTTAATACCATTAATACAAACATACTGTTTGCGGTTTTTTCATTTTCATTTAGTCTGGAAATATGCCTGCTACAATTGACGTATTGAAGATAAGAGAAAGCGGCTGACATAAATATTCAGCCACCTTTTTTATATGCTGTGTAGATAAGTCGCCATGGCCAACTGCTTTGGAGCAATCAAGCCTATAGATCTCATCTAAGACGTTATATTGTGAAAATTTAGGTAGACTAAAATCACTCTTACATGATATCTTCATCCAGTCCTTATATCGATTAACATTTCTACTTTGAAATTTTTTTGCTAATGATGGACCAAGACTAGTAAAGAACGTATTGAATGCATTAGCTATATCAACTTTCTTGGTGAAACGCTTGTCATTATAGAGTATGGAGGAGAACGGTTCCATGACAACGTCCGTAGACAATAGAAAAAGTTCCGTTTACAAATTGTTTTGAGTCCATGCTATTAAGCTTAGCCGGATCTTTTTAGCCGGATAAAAATTGTTCCACTCTGAAGACCGTTTTTGAAAAGTTCCGTTTTGGTGGAGAATTGTTCCGGATTTATATGTATTAATGTGGACGGAAGGCCTACCCGATATATAAAGTTGCGATTTCAAATTTATCCTGCATAGTGTGGACGGGGCCTAAACCGAGACTATATTAAACTGATGACGAGAAGTAACTGCTCATGAGAATTGAGAGGCCGAGTAACGCAATGAAACTCTCTCGTCATTCCATGAGATTGGGAAATATAAGTAGACTATAGTATGGGGTGGAGTGGGATGGGAGGAGGAGGGGG